AGGCAGAGAACCACGATCACTTACTGAAACATACCTCTCCCAACCTTTCCAAGGACAAGAGACTCTAGGAAAGAAGAAGTGAAATAATGCTTGGAGTAACCCTTGTGAACCCCCTCAAAAGATCCTCTCTCTCTCTTCTTTAGGTTTTCACAGGTCAAGACAGTAGCCAAGGATGTTCAAAAATATTGAACAAGAGCTCTTAAATAGAAGAGCTTCAAAGGAGCTCATTAATTACAAGTTTCTGACTTTATCGTCCAGGACGATATGGAAATCGTACAGGCCGATCAGTACAAATCTCATAAGATCGGCCAGAGCATTGCCCTGAATGCAAACTAGACAATTGAAAATTTGCTTGATCGTCCAGGACGATATCACGATCGTCTCGGTCGATCAGTTCAAATCAGAGGAAAATCATCCAGAGCATCGCATTGAATTTGAGCTGTCCGATCCAAATCGGCCAGAGCATCGCCCTGAATTTATACTGGCCGATATTTATCATCCAGGAGAAACCAAGGATTTTTGAATGGATCATCCAGGCCTATCTTGCGATCGTTCAGGACGATGTGATCGTATCAATCATCCTTAATTATTCCCATGATTGTCGGATTAATTTAGGCATAATTATACTATATCGTCCAAGCCGATAAAAGAATCATCCTGGCCGATTTCCAAAAATACAGAATACCTAAATAGATCATGGCGGCAATTTCTTTATGTATTGAGCATATCGTCCTGGCCGATACAGGTATCATTCAGGCCGATCAGTTAATTACGGCTGCCTTAACTAAGAAATCCTGATTAGATCTTCTATTTTGAACCCGATCGTCCGGGCCGATGTGAGTAAAAACACAAGTTCTAAATCTCTCAAGTGTGTGTGTGTAGGGTTACTTAACATCAGTCACTTCAAACAATTACAATTAACTCAAGAAAGAAGAAAGAAAATTACAGGCTGACTCAACCCTAATTTACCCAGTCTTGAGCTGATTCTTATTTCTGTCCGATCTTTGAATCCTAAAAATTTCAGTAGTAAAGGCAGTCGAAAAGAAGCAAGAGTGTTTGCTAATCATCAAAACATAATTCGTGGTATCTGCAACACAAAAGATTTAAAAAGGTAATTCTTCCCAATTAGATCATGAGGCTTCACACTACAAAATAATTACTCAATATTTATTTCTAGTTGAGGAAAAAATAATTATCCTAGATAAAGATATTCAACTAGGAAACTCAACTTGTAAGATAGGACATGTACTAGATATTACCTCTTAAATGCCTAAATATGGGGACAGGTTGAATGAAGTTTATGATATGATTTATGCCTTCTATATAAATGAGAAACCTTCAAAGCATTTAAATAAATTCAAAGTGATGGCATTAACTTCTCATGCATAATAGATTAAGTGGTAGGTAGGAATAATGAACCTTATGGTCATACCACTATGACAAGATAGCCCACATAAACATGAAAGTTTTCTATGCAATATATAAATTATAATTATTTTAAGTTCACATATTGATGTACTCAAGGCTTTATATGATTATATACATCAAATATGCTCTATTGAATATATCTTATATTTTTAACCTAGGGATGTTCTTCCAAATGATGCTCATCTCTATCTTCGAACTACAACTAGACTAATGAAATTCATTTAAAAGCTTTTTAAATAGAAATATTTTTATTGGACTTGATTTATATAATTTAAAAAGTGGATTAATTTTAACTTTTTAAATCATTCCCTATGTCTAACAAGCATATGTATAAAAATGAAATAAATAATGCTGACAAATGTATCTAATAAATAAAGTGAAGCTAATAAAATGTAGGACATGAAAAAAAAAAAGAATATTTCATAGATCATTCCACAAACATCTCTCACTCTATCTTTTATCTTAAACTCTAAAGGTTTATTTATTTCCCCAAGTTGTACATATTATCATACACAAATGCATGTTTAATTATATAAAGAAGTCATTGCATTAGCCCTTCAAAAATTACTAATTAATGATTTCTATGGAATAAAACTCCTCAAAGTGTTATTATGGGGTCCAATAATGAGTACAATGTAAGTTTTATGGAATTGCCTACAAGAAATATAGGCAATTTGTGTGAAATGATTAACCCAACCAGTGACACATATATGGAAATAGGTTTGGCTAAGGGACTCATTAATGTTAGGACTGAATGGTCTATATAGTACTCGATTACAATGCCCAAAATTATAAGCTAGTAAGGCATGGCTCTTAGATGGATCTAGGAGGCTTTAGCTCTAGAGTGGAGGGGGAGGGGGAGTACATTAGGTTGAAGTTGTAAGTATGTACGAAAAATGACTAAATTGGCATGTACAAGCACTAACAAGTATGAACTTGTGAGTGAATGTCATATTGTTATGAATATATATCAACATAGTGTGTCGACTGTAATAATTATTTTTTATTTAATAAAAAAAAGCCATTATCACATGGAGAACTATAGAGTCCATCTAATATATGATGATACACTATTCAAGTGTAAGACATAAAGATGTCAAATGACAAATCTATGGACACTTATAATTAAGATAGGTAGGATCTTTAATGAACCTAATCCAATTGGGCCTATGATGACTTCAATCCACTTTGACTAAAATGTTAAAAGCAAGATAGATATATAACCAGAACAAAGTTGGGCTAGATATAAGAGGAATTTAATCTAGTGGAGGCTATAATGGCTTTAATCCCTAAGAATACAAATCAAAATGTAAATTTATATACATATATAAATAACTAAACTAAATTTCCCAAATCTAGCAGGGCCTAAGGTCTAGGTTGGTTGAAGTTAAGAAAAGTCTTTCAAAACTTTGGTTAAGGACTACCTTAGGCTTAGAGGGTTCATTAAGCTAAGTTTAATAAAAAACTTAATAACATTAGATCTTAGTTGAAAAATATGGTTAGCAAGCATTAAAAATGAAAATATTAGAAAAGAATGTTAAATAAATAACTCTATGATTTGATCATTAACAATATAAGAGTGGATGAGTCCATTTGGAAATAGTACTAAGCTAAAAGCTCTAAGATGTTGAGTTCCCAATAAGGTGTTGCAGGGGAGGTAAATGGTGAAAGAAACTTTAATGATTGAGGACTTGGGAAGGACCCAACTAGAAATGCATAATTTATTTGGTCATTTTCATCACTGTAGTATTGATAGCACCATAGCTGTCAACTGATATGACCGTTGGTGCGTTTACATGTGACAATGCCACAACGGTTGCCTGTTTCCAAAAAGTCATTTCAAATTCCTAGAACCAGCACCAATGCACCACATGGAATGTACCGCTAGAGCATTTGAATCTAATATTTTGTTATTTAATGCATACATTGAGCGCCATGGCGTAGTACCTTGTAGCACCACAGCGTTTCATCATTTATAAATAGGCATTCCATTTTCATCTCATTTCACATTGCATTTTCACTCAATCTCTCTATTCCTCTTACCCCTAAGTTTTTTTTAAAAATAGCTTAAGATCAAGGAAGAAGAGAGCTGCCACCTACGATAAACTAAAATTAGTTTCTGAGGCAGCTGAGTCAAGGTATACTGAGTGGGTAATGACTAAACCTTTTATCCCTGAGCATGAGTTTCTCATCCCAACCCAACCAATCCTTCAAACCATTTTTGATAGAGGTTGGGCTCATTTTAATGAGGAACCATTTGTGACGATTACAAGTATAGTTTGTGATTTTTTTTGCAAACAAAAAAGAGGATTTTGATATTAAATGTTATGTGAGAGGGAGATGGGTACCTTTTGACACATCCACCATTAATAGAGCCCTTAAGCTAAAAGATATGGAATTTAATGAATATTTTTCTTTTATATATACACTATTTGACTTCCAAGAAATTTTAGACTAACTTTGTGGATCGAATAGTGGAGCTTGGTGGAAGATTGGAGAATAGAAAATCATTAATTTCCCTGTATACTATATAACTCAAACCTCCAAGGCCTGGCTTTATTTTATCTCTACCCTAATTGTCCCTAGCAAGAACATTAGTAAGCTAACATGGATAGAGCCATCCTAAATTTTTCCATTCAAAAGGGCTATATTATTATTATTAAAAAGTTGATCTTGTCTTCCCTTATGTACATTTTGAGGGGATCTACTTCTATGGGTCTAGGCAACCCTTCTTTAGTATATGCCATTTTTGTATCAGTAGGAGAGGGGTGATCAGAATGAAGAACAGTTATTCCCTATAGGTACTCTCACTAGGGGATAAATATTGAAGTTTAAA